CCTCCGGTAGCGACATCGCACGGCCCGAATCGCAGGCCGGTAACGAGCCGCGGACTGCCCAGATCGCATGCCGATCAGAAAACTTTCTGATCGGCGCGATCTGGGCCGTCCGCGGCGTGTTACCGGCCTGCGATTCAGGCCGTGAGATATGACGTTTAGCAGTTCTTATAGTAGGTGTAGATGTAGACAATGACGACATCAACATTGGTGATGACGCTCGTGGCAACGGCGAGACCAGCAGCGATGTTTGTGCAACTAATTTCATCATCAACACGGGCGGAGAGGAGCGGGGATCTGATGAGGATGGTGAGGAGGGGATTGGGCTTGGGAAAAAACGTTTCGCTATCCTTCCCCCCTTCAATCTCTATGTTGAATTGCTCCTCGTTGTCTGGCATCGGATGGGGGTAGGATAGTCGATAGTCGATGTCCCCTTCGTGATGGGAGTTGCCCGGCCCGCAATTTCAATCAAGAAGGGGTGCTGGTCGCCTCTCAGGTGGGGGGTGGATAGTTTAGGGTCTCATGTGTCCGACCTGTTTGCGGCGTGTTTGATGATTGTTTGCTGGGCTGTTTGATGAGAATGATTTTCATTAGGGGCAGACTACTATGGCAGGAGGTCAATCCTTCCCTGTCGCGGGGAAGTAATAAATGCCTCTGCTATTTTGTAAGACATGGCGGGGTGGAAAAGGGATTTTGTTCCACATGACATATACAGATAGTATGCATACAATCAGATAGCATTGGATGCACACTAACACATCTCCACAAATCATAGTATAGGGACGCGGGACCCGTTTTCCAGCTGGCATTCATCATGTCCATGTACAGGGACACTGGACCCGATTTCCAGCAGGTGCAGCTCCCCACCAATGGATGGAGCCTTCAACGCTGGGGCCCACGTAACGAGGTTGCTCGTATCACCTCCTTAAGTGGGTTCTCCCACATGCAAGGAATATGAGCGCGAGCGATAGACAGAAACTCAAGTTGCAAAATCAGGAAGTAGCTCAGATAGTCACGTACCAAGCAGAGAGCACAATGCACCAAGATACCGTCCAAATGAGAGCAATACAATGAACTCGTATGTCAATGTCGCCACTCTCTGGTCACACCAACACAGTATCCAATGTCACTCCTACTATCTCGTGCCCAGCGCCCAGCCTACTCTACTCAGCCTATCTACATCTATCTACGTTCTTGCAATGAGGTCACATCGCAGCTGAAGACCAATGTATGTGATGTCATCACCAATGCTGACCGCCAGCATACACCAGGTACGTTCTTTCTCCTCCCTTCATCACCCCTTGACTCCCTCTGCATGTGCCTCCTACCCGAAGACCACCATCGCCGTCACCTGCATCCGCACGCGCTGCCCGGCTATGGCCGCCGTGCGCCCACTGCCACCGCAGTGCCCTCTCACCTCTCAGTGTCCATATGTGCCCCAGCCTGCCAGTGCTAAGCAGCGCTCATCTGACAATGCAGCAGCGTGGCCGCATTGCCTTGGCAGGCCAGAATGCCTTGCCCAGGGGGCAGACACTTTCCTTTCTGGAAAGTGTGCCCACTGCTGGCTAGCCTGGCAAGGCGTGTGGGGGCCCAGTAGCTTCAGTCTGGCCCCAAATGTCTGCGCCCAGGCCCAGTTTCAGATACTGGCCTGGGCCTCGTGCAGTTAGGCACGTTCAGGCAGCCACCCAGCCTCCAAGTGTTCGCAGCATTCTCGTTGGCTCGTGGTGCATGTGTGACGATAATGCTGCTTTCTCATTGCCCCGCGGCCAGTCCATGATGTGTCGGCCTCACACAGCATGTACCCGGGGGTCAACCACCTGAGCCCTGGGCTCAACTGTGCAGTGCAGCCCTTTCTTCTGGAAGGAGCCTGAAAGCTCACGTTGCTCTGTAACCAACTGGCGTGCTGCAACTGTCAGATACCCCACATATGAAAAATGTCGAAAGTAGGCCTCACGTGGATATTCAGGCCCGCCTTCACTTTAGGGCGGGCACGAGGTTGCTGGGGGCCGCAGCCCAGAACACTTGCATGTCTGATAAGGGCCCTGCGGGGGCTCATTCCTCGGATTCCATCTGCTATGAACCTGGTTGTTTGTTGTCAGAAGACCAACACTCGCACACATAGACTTCCAGGTATGCCCATACATACACAGAAGAAAGGGGAGAGGATGGGAGTATCACACCGCACAGGGAGAGATGAACACAGCGGAAGACTTGACCATGAGATATGACAGAGAACACTGAAAGTGCACTTCGCCTCACAGAATCCTCACAACCAGTCACAAAGGAAAGCCGAATAGATCACATCCAGGAAACAAAATGAAGCAACAATAGTCCACCCACAGTAAACACACTGTTTATTTAAACTCAGAGTCTCAAAATGTCAGAAGAACCCCAGACCATGGTGCGCTGCTCAGAAATGAGCAGCGCTTCACTCCCCAACCCAGAGTAACCGCTAGAACTACCCCTGAGCCCCTGAAACATCAAGCGCCACCCATATACTGCCTCCAGAGGGAAGCGCCACCCTGAAACAGGCCTCTGAGGCCAAGCGCCACTCAGAGGATGAAGAAGAAGACCAGTGCCACAGTGTCTGATGATGATGAAGTGCCAGATGACTTCCCGGGTGGAAGTCTGCAGCAGCGCCACCTCTCCTGACAAAGATGCTCTCTGAGGAAGAAAACTGCAGCTATGGCTGCAGCGCCAACATACTGAAACCCTACTCCTGAGGAGGGTCCAGCAGTGCACCAACTTCTCTCGCCTCCAGCAGACTTCAGATAGCCCAGACCTCTGAACAGCCCCGCGTGCTGTCAGAGTGCAGCGTAGGTCCCAGCTATGGCCGACGCTCCGCAGGTCTGGCTATGTCCATCCTCCTCAACGCTGAAGCTGTCACCACTCCCAGAACACGAGTTGCACAGCAGCGTTGTACACGGTACCAACTGCCAAAAGCCCTGAACCGATGTCCTCAATCTATCTATAGACTACACTAGCCTAGACACGACCTAGACCGGACTGACTGGACCGACCGGTACCGTTTCCATTCCGGCCTCTCGGCCTCTACCTCCCCGGCTATAGGCTATAGGACCGTCTATCAGCATAGGCCGTTAGGGCCTGTCTGTCCTAGGGATAGCCCGGGCCTGCTATTCGCAGTTAGGGTAGCTGTAGGTAATTTTAGTTAGTACGGGCCTGTATTTTCCCGAATTTTACAGATATGTCCCTCAAGAATTTCCCTACAGATAGGTCTCTCGGTTAGCCCTCAGCCAAACAAAATTACGAATCTATCCTACCTATGGTACAGCCTCGATGAGAGAGGCTACAGGCCACTGAAACCAGCAAGTCATTGCACATCCCCCTTAGCTTTGAAAGTCCGTTGAGATGCTTCTACGCGGGTGCTTTCCCCTTCAGTCTTCGTTCATACTCAGCCACGATCTGAGGTGCTGTTTTGACGAGCTCCTCTCTTGTGAACGAACGATCTTCCTGTGGATCTGTATGATGCCTGAATCTGACCCGGTACTCCCGCATAGGTTTGGGTGGTCTTCCCCTGCCCACAGGCTTGGGAAAAGGCAAGTCTCTATGCTCCAAAATGTCGTCGACGTCAACATGGCCATCCATGGTTGGGGGCAGCATCGACCTTCTTGATGGGAGCAGATCTGTCTCAGCGAAAGGTTCAAGCTTGGAAGCGTGAAAGACAGGGTAAGTGCGCAGATGACCAGGGACTCTTATGACGTACGAGGGACCATCTAGATCACTACCCACGATATCTAGGACTTCCCAAGGACCAAAGTACTGCGGCATTAGCGTTGTAGAGATACCGAATTCCTGTCCCAGTTCATTAGCCTTTACCCAGACACGTTCCCATACCTGAAATGTGGACTGTTGTTTGTGCTTATTCTCAGAGGCAATCATTGCCTCTTGAGATTTTTTGATGTGCTTGAAAGCCTGCTGCAACAATTTCTCTTACTGGACACCAAATTCTATGGTTCCTGGTGTTGCAGTCGGTCGGTTTTCAGGAAGAAGGAAGTCTAGTGCAGATCTAGGCTTCCACCCCAAATGCAGTTGATTGGGATTGACGCCGGTGGTGCTATGTACAACATTCTTGCACAGACTGACGATGAGAGCAAGTTTCTCATCCCATTCATCTTGGTTGGGCTTGATGTAATGCCTCGATAAATGCTGCACCATACAGTTCATCTGTTCCGCTTGGCCGTTGGCTTCGGGATGATTCCGCAATGTCATTTGAAGTTGACTACCCATCTATTCAGTGGCTTTCTTCCACATCTCACTTGTGAATCGGACATCTCTATCACTAACGATGGTCTTAGGAAGTCCAAAGTCACGCACCCAATTATCTATAAATAACTTGATGGCGTGTTCAGTTTTGGCCATCTCCGGCATGGCAATTAGTCTAGCGTACTTAGTGAACCTGTCCACTATAACGAAGATATGTCGTTTGCCAGTCTTGCTGGTCACGAGAGTGTCCATAAAATCCATGGAAACACTTTGTCCCGGACCCGCAGGAGAGAGACGGTTAACGGAGGCCTCAATTTTCAGACCACTTGTCTAGCCATTTATAACAAAACCCAAAAATAAAACAGGGCAAAAGAAAAAAAAAACAGAAAAAAAAAATAATAATAATCTCCAACGCACTTTTCAGGGTTGAGGGGGTTAACCAGGGATGAAAAGTGGGGGTCCCTGTTAACCGCTTATGCCGCAGGAATGGGTAAGGGTTTGAGTAACCAAAGCGGAGCTTGAGTTCGCGGCTTGTCCCGCCAACAGACTTGGCAAGTCTGTCCGTACTACTTTGGATCGTCTAGAATACTATGCCACCAAAAACGCTGAACTAAATTTGCAGTAGTCTTCTTGTAGCTGCCAGTCACGTCATGACACTTGCTTAAATTTAAACTACACAAAAGCACACTAGACAACACACACAATCTTTTGAACCCTACCTTTTCAAGGAAGAGTAATCGATCCACCATCACAAACTCGTCAGACGTCGCTTTGTCTTTCACATCTAGTTTGCATATGATGTCCATCACGAGGGGATCTTCCTTCTAGGCATCCACCATCGATCGAGTTACTTCATCAGATAGGCCAAACCTAGTAATCAGCGCACCTAGGTAGTCTTCCCTACGTGACAACGCATCAACAACCTTGTTGTACTCTCCCTTCACATAATCTAGCTTGAAGTCATATTGATCCATGACTTCAATCCAGCGTTTGAGTGCATCGGAGAGAACAGGCTCCGTCTTAATCCACTTGAGTGCCTGATGGTCGGTCCTCAAGTAAAAGAACCTACCAAGCAGATAACGTCTCCAATGGACAAGAGCTTTGTAAAGGGCATAGAGTTCCCTTTCATAGGTGGACTTCGCCAACTTTTTAGATGGCATCGCCTTACTCATGTACTCGATCGGCCTCAACATCTTCCCTTCCTGTGGGGTCAGCACTGCGCCAATGTCATATTGGCTTGCGTCAGTGGTCACGACGAATGGCCTTTCCGGATCGGGGACCATGAGAATCTCATGATGTGTGAGGACATATTTCAGTCATTTAAAAGCAGCCTTGCACTTGTTTGTCCATTCTCATGGTGTGTCAAGGCGGGTTAGATCAGTCAAAAGGACGGCCACCGTTCTATAGTTTTTAATGAAGTTGCGGTAGTAGTCGGCCATCCCTAAGAACGATCTGACCTCAGTCATAGACTGGGGTCGTGGCCATTCACGAATGCTAGCCACCTTTACATTTTCGGGCCTTATCCCTTCCGCGGATATCTCATGACCCAAGTACAAGATTTTAGTGCGACCGAACTCGCATTTCTCTACGTTGATCTTATACTTGTGTTGTCGCAGGAGTGAGAGTGCAGTTTCTACATGTTGTGTACGCTCCTTGACTGTCCTACTGAAGATAAGAATATCATCGAGGTACACAATGATGAACTTATCCAAGTAGTCATGAAGCACCCTATTTATGGCATGTTGGAATGTACCCGGCGCATTGCAAAGCCCAAAAGGCATAACCACAGATTTGTACAGACCGTACCTGGTCTGAAATGTTGTTTTGTGCTGATTCTCCGGTCTAATGGCAATTTGATGGTAGTTAGACTTTAATTCTATCTTTGTAAAGTACTTAAATATCTGCATCCTATCCAACAGGTCGTCGATGCGGGGTAGAGGCTCTGCGTTCTTAACGGTGATGGCATTGAGGCCTCTATAATCAATGCACATCCTTAATATTCCCCCTTCCTTTGGAATGGATAGTATTGAAGAGCCAAAGGGGGAAGTACTAGGCCGAATCCAACCCTTCTCTGTGAGCTCTTTCAGTTGCCGACAAGCTCGTCCAACTCGGTCGGAGCCATCCTATAGATCCTCCCTTTCAGTGTTTTACTCTCTGGGATTACCTCTATGACGTGGACAACCTCCCTGTCTACAACTCCCGAAGGCTCCTAAAACAAATCAGGGTACTTAGCAAAGACTGTTTCTATCTCTGGGGTGTTTTAACGGCCTCCCCTTTCTCAAAGACGAAAACTAAGTACATACCCTCCTCTTGGTTCTGTTTATGATAGTTATAGAACGCAGTTGCACACATGCACCCATAGGAGTCAACTAACCTGCTAGCTCTATACTTAGCTGGTCTAACGGTGCTCCCATCAGGCAACACACGCTTGAGCACTTTCCGGTTCTAGTCAAACTAGGGCTTGGCAAGCTCAAGGTAGTACATACCCAACAACATATCAAAAGGCAAGTCATCACTAATTACGAACGAAATCTGATGATTAAGTTTCCCACCTCCATAAGAGAAGGTGCAGACCACATCCTTAACGTAGTCTTTAACCAACATGCGCTCTTTGTTGGCTAGAGGAGATGCTACAGGTCTACTCAAGCGTTGCACCCAGTCCCCTAGGCGCAGTCACGACTTATGAAGTTCCGTGTGGAGCCCATGTCTACTCAAGCGCTGCACACTAACACATCTCCACAAATCATAGTATAGGGACGCTGGACCCGTTTTCCAGTTGTCATTCATCATATCATTGTACAGGGACGCTGGACCCAATTTCCAGCAGGTGCAGCCCCCCACCAATAGATGGAGCCTTCAACGCTGGGGCCTACTTAACGAGGCTGCTCTTATCAACTCGTTAAGTGGGTTTTCCCACACGTGAAGTTTTCCGGAAAAAAAAAAAAAAAAAAAAAAAGAGAGAGGAAGAAGTTCAGGTGTTCAGGAGAGATCTCCCATTTGGTGACAATTTTCGATTTTCCTCTTTCCGAGTGCTTCCAGTATCGGCATGAAGGCACCATCAAAACGTCATGGAGATCATCGATATGCTCGGTATCATCACAAGTCAGAAGTTTTATCGGAAGCAATGCAAAATGCAGGTTGAACAGATCAGACATCTTTTTAAACCACCAGTTCACAAGAGGCTAAGTTGACGAAGCTACCTTCCAAGGCTCGCGAGCCTCCGACTATGCCCCTTTTCAAAGTGGCCTGCTGCGTCCACTATGGGCCCAGGCTCAAATCAAAAAGTTTTTACCGTGTATACCGGTAAGAGCCCTACTCCTGTTCGGATGAATTGATGGTTTACGGTGAGTCTTACTTCCACATTGATGGTTTACTGCCTGGGTCCAGTCGAGATAAAATAAGAAAAACACCAAGCCTTGATGATGCCCGATCGCTCAGGAGTGAGTCATAGAGTTGGGGCCACAGGCCCACACACCTCCTAGACCTCCCCAAATCCCTCCATCATCCCACAAGTGACGTGTCGTCTTGGGCGGGACCGCTTCGCCAAAATCTGGCGA